TTGGTAAGCTCGATTTAATGACTTTTTGATACTAAATTATTCAAATTTTATCTCCCAGTTTTACTGCTAATTTCTTTTACTGTTCATATTGAAGATGTAAACATTTTAAGATGCTTATCTTGAAAACTCTATGCCAATCATATTGTCTAATTTCTAGTACTTTGTAATCTTTGCTTCACATCCAAGATTCCATTAAGAGCTCTGCAAATTTTGGTGGATTGCATCAAATAATTGGAATCAATTTGTTTTAATTTTGCCATTTCAATGTAGTTAATTTGAAATGAAACTTAATGATTTCTTGTTTCAGATCTCACGAGAGGCAGAGTCTGCTGTGTTCCATAATCAACTTTTTGAGGAACTAAGAAAGCAGACCCCAACCCCAACAGATGCCACCCACACTGTTGCCATTGCAGCTGTTGAGGCTTCCTTCAAGTGCCATGCTGCTGCTATTATTGTCATTACAACGACTGGAAGGTCAGTTCTCTTACATGGTCAGGTGGCGGAAACACCTATATACAACATAATGTGGTTATCTTAGGACATTTGTTTTCAAAAGTATTAAACGGGATTTTGATGGTTGACAGGTCAAGTTGTGTGCCAGTTTAAATGTTTTTTTAATTAAATGAATCAACTGAAACAATTCAAGAACAAAACCTTTTTCACCAATGTTTAACCTTCATGCCTACAAAAAGTTTTTTTTTCAAAAGGACTTTTTCTGCTGACGCTGCTATTACTTTAAATTACCAAGATTCTCTTGACAATGTTTATTTACTTGATTATAAAAATATGTAAACCACGTCCAATGCAATATTTATTATTTACAATTTTATAAAGAAATAAATTTCAAAAACTTTTTATTCAAAAATTTATGTAAAATCATCTAAAAAAATTTTCAATAAATTGTTTGGAATGGTTGACAAAAACTTCTGCTAATTGGCAATCAATATGAACTCTATAAAATCATAGCAGCACCATGAAGAAAAAAAATGTCTTTTTGACACGCCATTTTATTCTGAAGGCTTAAACTTTGACCCTTTTTATTCCCAGAAATTTCTAAAATCCAGCTATTTATAAAGTAACCTGGCTTTTGTTAGACAAAAAAAATTGTATTGTATTGTTTGTTGACTAACTTTATCTTTTAGGTCTGCACATCTTGTTGCTGCATATCGTCCACGTTGTCCAATTCTTGCTGTGACTAGAACTGCCCAAGTTGCCCGTCAGGCTCACATGTACAGAGGCATCTTCCCTATCCATTATGAAGGTAAGTTCCAAAGAATTTAGTAATTCTCTTGCTGACTCTCTCAAAGTCTTGAAAGCAGTATTTGTTGTCTTAACGTTTCTGTATCTTCAAGATTTTTTTAGTTTAACAAATGTTGATTCTTGTTAAATCAGCATAAGGTTGACTGGGAGAAAGTTATTTCTTGTAAAATTGTATTTCATACATATAGTCAATAAAAATGATCTTGGAGGGTCTAGAATTCAATGTTGATTATTAAGAATCTGAATATTTATTCAAATTTTTTAAAGTCCATTGTGCTATTAGAAAAGTAGTTTCATTTTATCACTGATTTTTCTATAATCTCAATGTTTTTGAAGTGCTTTGTCCTCCATGATGCTATCTATAAAACATTGATTGAAATCTTAGTTGCATCTTAAGTTTCTTTCCAAATGGATGAAAAAAAAAAATTCATTTTGTTTCTCCTTTTCATTGAACCTTTTTATTGCAAAAATAAATGAATTTTTTTTTTGTTTTTTTGTTATTACTTTCATTTTTCTTTTTATCTTTTAATTTGATTTCACTTCATCATTGGATGAAACTAAATATTAGGCTTTTTTTTTCTTCTTTTTTTTTTTTAACTTATTCTATTTCTTTCAGTATTTGAAATGATTTTTCAAACTGCTTGCACCTTTTTTTTTTTTTTTTTTTTTTTTGTTTGAAGCCATATATGCATAAATCTCCTAATCATTTCTTAGATGCATAGAAGACTAGACTTTATTAACAGACCTCAATTTTGTTTGAATTTCCAATATTGAAAATGTTTCCATGTCATCCAAGATATTTCAATTCCAGTGTTTAGCAGAAATTCTTTCCAAATTTTTCATAAATATTTGATTTTTCCAGTACTTTCTATTCATAAATCATTTACATTTTAAAAAGAAAAAAAAAGTTTTCCTAGTAACAAACTCTGACTTTCTACCAAGATTTAAGTCTTGGTTGATCAAAAACTTCAGTTTAAATAGGAAATAGTTGGTCATTAAAGACTTTTACTGCTTCAAGATTTTAATCTTTCCAATTGGCAAGTGCTTTTCAATATTGATCTAAATATTTCCTGTTTTTCCAAATAGAGGGAGCCCCTCCCCCTCTTCAGTTGTCTACATTTCCTCACCAACTTTCCTTTTTGCTTCCTTTCCTGTTTTTATTGCATGCTTAGATTTTTAGTTTTTGCATGTTATTTATTAATCTATTTTTTCATTTTATTCTCAAAAGTTAAATTTCTTTTATCCTAATTGTTTGAATTTCCTATGCAGAGAAAAGGGAAAGTCAGTGGACTGATGATGTTGATAAGAGAATTCAAAGAGCTTTGGAAGTTGGGCATCAAGAAGGCCTTATTCAAAAGGGTGTTCCAATAGTGATTGTGACTGGCTGGAAGTCTGGGTCTGGTTTCACTAACACTCTGCGAATTATCAATGCACCCGCTAAGGATGATGTCATGCCGATCATGACCCGTTAATCATGATCCACACCCAGTACAACCTCAAATCTAGTTCTGCTCCTACCAATCAAATACTGTCAGTTTTGCCACTTAAATTTTTTTTTCCCCCCTTGCCTCCATCTGCTGACTGTTTTCTAGTTGTAATGGACACTGAACTCTTAAGACATTGAAAAGACAAAATCTGCAGAAAACCACCATTGTATTGATTTACCTGATCTACCCTTTAGAGACAGATGTATACAGATGAAAAAAAAATTCATGTAGAAACAAAATCAAAGAAACCTCAACTGACCTTCTTTGGACTTTGGTCATTTTGACCAAGACCTTTGTTGATCTGTTGGCCATCTTTTATAAGAGGTCATTAGATTGGGGAGTAGAAAAAGTAACTCTTGATTGCACAAATCTTTTGTAGTGACATTGGCAACTCTATCTTAGTTTCCCAGTAGCTTTTACTTGAAAATGTTTCATTCTATTTTGAAAACTGTACACTTATTTATTCAATTTTTTTTTTTAATGCAAAAAAACAATTTGAATTTTTTTGATAGAAATTATTTGAATTAATTCTTGTGAAAAGAAAACAAAACTTGCAGACCTGAGTCATGGTTTACTGCTTCTACAGTTTCAAAGCAGAATGTAATATTTGTTAATTTACTGATAAGTATTGAAACTTTAGATAAGTTTCATTTTGACTAACTTTCAAAAATTTCTCAGTTTTAAAAAAAAAAAAAAAAAAAAAATTAATGCTTTTCAAACTTATTCTTTGAACCTTTTATCTAAGTTTTGGAACTTAGATTTTGTTTATTCTAATTTTTTTTTTAATGTTTACACTTGCTGTTTTCCACAAAGTTTTGTATTTTGAGGTGTCAGATGGGGTAGTTGCTTATTGTTGCAGGTGAGCCATTCTTTTCCCCACCCCACTTTCCCCACCAGCCAATTTGATGAAACAGAATTGTTTGACTCTTGTCTTTACCCTTGGTTCCCTGTAAGTCACCCACCTTGCAATAGGCAACTGTCCCTCACTCCCTTCATTTGTGCATTGTTAATAAAGGGTTACAAACAGTTTGGCTTTTGACTTGATTTTTCAACACACCTCTTCTCTCCCACTAATTTTTTTTCAAATTCATGCTTTGAAGTGTCTGCTCTGTCCCCCACTTCCTTATTAATTCAATTCCATAAAAAGTTGTAGGCTAATATTTTTAAATTTAAAAATATGGAAATAAAAAAAAAAAAAATTTGCCATGAAATGTCTTCAATTTGATTGAAGCAACCAACACCAGCTGGTTATCATTTAACTACTTTCCTCCAGTATTTTCTCAGTTAAACTGGTCCTGATTACCATATGCCACATCATTTGGTTATTCTTCATTCCTATTAACAGGTTTTACTTTATTTGCTGCCATGTTTATAATTAAATGATTTTTAATTTTCTTCCATCAAAGAAAATGACTGCTTTATTGTTCGAATGTTGAAAATAGAGCTGCTGCTTCAAGTATCCTTGTCACTAGTTCTTAATGTCTCTGCTTAACTCGGAACCACATTTTATGTTATTAATAAAAATAAATGCTCTCTTCTAGACAGAATTACTTATGTGGGATTTTAAACGCTATTTATATATCAATTAGAGGGGACAATAGAGTATTTAGTTGTAGTGTAAAAATTATTGCCTGTATATTTTCTGTTTTCATTTTGTTGAATTGTTCAAAATGTCTTCATCACAAAAGAAGCTGCTCACTTTATGCAAATTGCATTTGCTAAGTCATCATTGGTCTCTGCATTTGACTGAGAGGTTAAGGGTTAAGTTGACTTCTACCCTCTTTTATGTATACATCACCAACATCAGTCGACCTTTTGGGTGAGTTATTAGCTATCCATTTATTTTCAATTCTAATCTCATAAACTATTCTTTACAGAAAGTAATATTCTAAAAATAGCCTAGCAAATTATTTCAGAACAAGTGAGTTTTGTTGGCTAACAAAGTTAAGAGTGGGAAAGTTAGCCATGTCAAATTCTCTTCCTCTAAAAAAAACTTTTGAATTTCTTCCATATATGGATATCCATTTGCCAACGACCCTGATTTAAATTAAACTGTTAAGCCTCAAATGAATAACTCATTGAGATGATCAACAGAAGTGGCAGTTTCCAAAGCAATAACAGCCAGCATGAGCTTTGTTTCCTATCAAAGAATTGGGACATTATACCAAAACAACCTTCCCTCTACACTACAGAAGAAGAAAGTTTTATTTTCATTACAAAGTTGAAAATTTACTGATTGTCACCTTCTTAAACTTATAAATGGAGCTGGGTCTTGAAGAACCTGATGAAGAGTTGTGAGCCAGAGAAAACCTACGATATGGAAACTTAATAACTGTCTGCTAAATAAGCCAAGTTTAGAAATAAACCCTATTTCAAGGACTTCTTTCTATGGAAGATAAGACTAAGTCTGTTTTAAGGGCACCAAAATTCTATAAATGGGATTTGTTGCAAGCTAGTTGGGTAAAAGTAAATACCAGTTCCTGCCATTAGCATCATTTCATTCTCAAAGTTCAATAATTGGAATAAGAAATTTCTAAGAACAGAAAACGCTAAACTGGACCAAGAACTTCTTAGCACCTGCTCTGCAAGCTTATGGATCATTTGAAAAGTGCACTAGGCAAATTTGGTGGGGGGGGGGGCAAGAAATAAACACTTATTTATCATTCATTAAAATTGTTTGTTTTTGTTTTTCTTTTTTTCATCATCCTTCTACCTTTTGTGCCATTTATAATTTGAATTTGCTAAGAACCTTTATATCAAAATATGCTGTTTAATTGAAAATCTGTATTCATTTCTTGTTTCACTCATAAACTGCAGTTTTTTTTGTTAAATTGCTTTTAATTTATGTAATGATTTCTGCATTGAAAGGTTTCATTAAAACAAGGTTAATACTTAAATTTTAACATTCCTTTTACTACTGATGAGTTTTAATGACAAACGGATTGTGTCTCAGAGAATTAAGATTAATTAAAATGTGCAATAAAGTGACATTACTTACTCTTATTTTTTTTTTTTTCATGTGTAAATGTAAGTTTCACAAAGTAATTTTGGACTGTCATATGTATTAAGATCATTGGGAAGAAGTCAGGCAAATGAAGGTCAAACTGCTAATGCCCTTGAAGGCTTGAATCCACTTGCTACTTATGGAAGGGGGGAAATAGTACAGTCCTTTAGTATTCACTAATGGGATAGATCTGGTTCTTTGCTATTATCACTTCAAGAGGAGATTGGGTATTGCCAATTATCCCGCCTTCTGCCGAGGAGCACTCTGATGATCTATAAGGCCATAGGAAATTCCCAGTTTATATATAGAATTATGCTATCAGATTTATAACCAATATCTTTGGAAAATTCAAATGTAAATATTTTTCCTCTTAGAATGGCTTATTGCATTCAGTTTTCAGTTTCTTAAATTTCTCAGTACTTAGACAAAACAGGACCACAGGTGTTTGTCTTTTCATTGGCAACACCAAGTGGCTTTTGGTACAGTCTAATAACTTATATTTAACTAAACTTATGTTTATCTTCTTTATTCTAACATGGATTGAAATTTCTCCCATTAATAAGATCTGGACTTGTATCTTGAAATGAAATCTTTAATAAGAACAGAATCTAAAGGTTCTATTTTAGACAGAATATTAACTGAGATATTCTTTGTTTTCTTCCAGCTGCCCCTGATCCTGACTATGCGATAAATATGGATCTGCAGATCTACTATTGCATGATTTCTGGTGAGCAGAACAAGATAATCAAACCCAATGACACTGTCATTATCATCAGTGGCTTTCAATCAAGTCACAATTTTAATAACTGCATGCGTGTGGTTACTGTCCCAGATCTTTCTAATACATTGCCTCCTCTTACTGGTTCCAAAACCCTGGCTAGGTCTGATGTTCTAACCAAGTAAGTACTTGGATTATGATGGTGTGGATTTCCTCTATCTCCCCACACCCTGCTGATAGCAGCATAAAAACGGGCTTTTCATTAAAAAAAAAAAAAAAAAAAATTTACAGCATTGTTTGATTCAAGACACACTTCATTTTTATTCTAATGTTTTCTTTACAAGAGAAAAACAAATTGTGTGCAGTATTTTATTTTTTTTTATTTAAATTAAAAAAAAAAAAACATTTCTGGGATTTAGATTGATTTCAAGTTGCTTGTTCCTTTCCAGAAATGTTTGGTCTGATCTAAATTTTTTTTTTATCTACCTCCTTTGACTGTGATAATAACTAAACTATTCCACACTATCATTCAATGTACCTATATTATACTTCCACCCACCTTTTATTTATAAAAAGGTTATTTTGACAACAGCATTATACACTACCATTTATTTATTTATTTTTTTTTTTTTAATATAATTTCTTTATTTAATGCCCTAATTTAAATGCTATTGCCTTATGCCATTGATAAACTATGATCAATTGTTTTCTTTTTCTTTAACCGCCACCTACTCATTGGGGTAGGCACCCCCCCCCCCGCCAAAAAAACAAAACAAAACAAAAGTGATAATAAAACAGTACATCTTTAACCTGGTTTTATTTTTCTGTGACTTAACTCTTCATCACAATGTGATAAATCCGATTGACTGGTCATTTTTCTTATTTTTGCTGTTTCCGTTCTTTAATAAGACATGGGTAGGGCATCATCTGGTCCAGGGACTTTCGCTACACACATAGTGTCTGTTGATCCACTGCCTTCTGTCCAGCCTCTGACCAATACTACAATACTTCCAATGGACAGCAGATTTCTTTTAATTGCATATTCAAAAGCTGCTTTGATGCTGTCATTGTAATCTTTTTCCCATACGCCACTCACTGCATCTACAAAAGCAATCAATAGTTTTTCTTTTTTTTAAGATTTCTGAGATGAAGTATTTACATTGCTCGGACTATCATCCTCATCTTTGTTGCCGTGTAGACTGTTCTAGTGCCATGTCTAACAGATGTCACTTATCTCCTGTTAATTCCCCTCTCAAAATTCTCCACCACCTTAATCAGCTATTGAACTCACACTCATTGAGTCCTGTCAGTGGATAAAGGCATTAGTTAGATCCAGTGACAGGACCCAAAGTGTGAGTTCAATACCTGGTTAAGGTAGAGGGGAATTAACAGGAGATAAGTGACATCTGTTAGACATGGCACGTAGAACAGTGAGCAAAATGAAGGGGTTCAGTTCAACATTCCAACCACCTAAAGAAGGCTGGAGTGTACAACGGCTGAAACATTGTGATAAACATGGCAACAAAGATGAGGAAAATAGTCCGAGATTTTATTTTATTTTTTTTTTTAAACTGTCTTACCTCCATGAAGAAATGGAATTACTCCTCTGTAAAGATGAAGTTGCCTGGCTGTGCTAGAGTTCCTTGTTACACCCAAAATCACACAGCGTGGTCGATAACGAGAGATGAGAGCAGCCGACCTGTGTGTGTATATATATTTATTTATATATAAATAGCATTTAATGATGATCCTGACAAACAGGAAGTATATAAATCATACTAGATAGAGAATGAATTCAGTAATTACGTATTAAAGAAGGAAGGGGGGGAGTGTCAGATAATTAGTGTCCCTCCTTACAAAATTAGCTTTCTTTAAAATCAATGAGTAAATGTGACTAGCTACTGACCTCCCAGTAGAAGTAACCACAACTATTGCCCTTGCACAGGAACTTATAGCTGCTTTGACGGCAGCAATGGCTGTGGTATGGTCCTTCATCAACTGAGAAGGCGTTGCCATTTCTATCATTTGTAGATGATTGTTGAACATCGCACCTTCAGCTTCACGACATATCTGGAGTAGGAAAAAAAAAAAAATTAAATAAATAAAAGTTTGTTGTTTTTTTTTTTTTTTTTGTTTGTTTGTTTTTTTTCCCCTGTTTACAAAAAAATTATTCAAAAAATAACAATCTGACTTGTAATTGAATTTAAATATTGTGATTGTTGGAGAGAGGAAAATTTGTGGCTCCTGAGATTAGGTAATTCCTTTCACTTTTTATCATAGAACTGTATTTATTTCTTTGGTTATGTGGTAGTACATTGATTGGAGAAACCTGACTTTTGCAATTCAAACCAATTTTCATGAAAGGCACTGAGACTGAATATTCCACTATGCCACCCACCCTTTGCACTTTAAAAAAAAAAAAAAAAAAAAAAAATCTGTCTACTTTACCTGAACTAAAGTTTTGACAGCCAGCAGTGGGTGATTTCCTTTAGCTGTCTCCGATGACAGCATCACACAGTCAATGCCATCCAACACAGAGTTGGCAACATCACCAGCTTCAGCACGTGTTGGACGTGGATGTGCAGTCATACTCTCCAGCATCTAAAAAATTTCATCAAAGAGGAAGGAAAGAAGAAGTGGACTAAAATTCAATGTCACATAACAGCAGCAGTTGTGAAGTAGTTTTTGAAAGAGATCAAAGAATAGACCAGCTAAACTAGGAGGAGGTTAAATTAATTCTTCTATCTAGAAACTTCTTTATCAAAACAAAAATTTGAACAGACAAGACTCCTAATTACTAAACTCCAAAGACTGCTGTTTTTTGGAATTTACTTTGAGGAGGGAGGCGAGTTAAAAAAAAAAAATGAAAAAAAAATGCCACATACCTGACTAGCACAAGTAACAGACTTGCCCGCTACATTTGCTCGTTTGGTGATCATTTTCTGTGCTAAAAAGACTTTCTCTGGTTTAATGTTGATCCCCAAGTTTCCTCGAGATATGATGACACCATCAGATGCATTGAGAATTTCATTGATGCTGTTTGTAAACAAAAACAAATTTCTCTTCTTAAAATCTGCAGCAAAGATAATCCAAGTTCAGTGCTGATAAAACTTTGACAAAAGGAAATATGAAGAGGCTCATAATGATTATGGATTTTGAAATGCTTTTTATAATTGATTATATTGGAGTTAGTCAAACAAAAACTGATTGGTTGGTCTTTGACTGGCCAGATCAATGGTTAACATTAGAATCCATTTTAAACACTTTTAGGGTCATCACATCTATATAATGAATTTTCTTTGTCACACATCCTTAGCGGCGGACCAAACAATATAAAAGGGAGAAAATTTAGATAAACAGATGTACACCAACTCACACCCAATATACTTACTTAATTATGCCTTTGTAATTTTCAATCTTGGCTAAGATTTTTATGGAACTCTCTTTCTCATCAAAGAATTTCCGAACAGATTTAATGAGGCTGGCATCACTGACCAATGACATAAACACCATGTCCACCTATTGAAGGTGAGGAAAAGAAACAAATAGAAAATTTTACAGAAGATTCTACTTTGGCTGATCACAACTTTTAATTAACAAATGAGTTTGCAACTCGAGGGATGAAGTTATCATTCTTTGAGTTATAGAAAATATCTGAATGTACTCAACACTAATAGAATATTTTGTTTGTTTTTTTAATGTCTAAGAAAGGGGAGGGGGACTCTCTTTTCAGCATCTAACATGAAAATTATTTCTAACAGACTTAAAATATTAAATAACTTAAAATTCCCCTAAATATTTCATTTTACAAAGACATTTTATGCACTCAAAACCTTATCTACCTAAGTATCTAGACACTGTTTATGAATCCTGAAATAAAAGGTAAGCAATCTGAGAAAAGGACATTAAAGACACAGATGAAAGACAGGTGAAAGTGAACACTTATAGTGAGTCTTCTTGGTATCTCACTAAGTGCTGAAGAAAATTCTCAGTCAAGTGTAATATTGAATTTCTTTGGTTTCTTTAGTGTTATATGTAAATCAATATAAGAAATTACCTTTTAAAGAAAAAAAGTTTTTTTTTTTTTAATCCTAAGGAAAGAAGTGCTATCAGAATTTATTATTGGCAGACATAATTTTAACAAGTTACACAGGTGACAGTGTATTGGTGACAAACTTAGAAAGTAAACTGAAAGAACTTTTAAATCAAAGAAAGCAAGAAGAAAGGACTAACTGTAAGAAGACATTGCACAGTTATCAACAAAAAAAAGCAACATGATGGAGATGGCAAAAATGAAGCCGGCATGTGTCATGTATTATTAAGAGACAGAAATGCAAAAGGTGCATAAGAATCTTTCAGAAACTAAAAGTATTAAGAGAGAAAATGTCCTTAGAGCCAAAGAGAAATGTGCTGAACTTTTATGTAATATTTCATCTGTATGCTTGTGAATATAGGATAATTTCATGTCTTTCAGAAACTAAGCAAAGTATTGAGAGATATGAAAATCTGACAAACAGAAAAGATTGCTTTAGTGTTATGAAATATCTAATCTCCTATATGACAATGAATATTGGATAATTTTGTTGCAGAAGAAGAAGAGACTTGAGGGAAGCGACAGATGTAGTTCTGATGAATGGACAACGTTTGAGTAACAAAAAAATGTCTTAAGGAGAATAAGAACTACAAAGAAAATGATAAAATCAAAAAAAGACGACAGCTGGAATTTCTATGACATTTGGAAAGAACACGGAGAATTTAACACTCACAAGGCAGATCAAAAGCAAGGGAAAACAGTAACGTTTTTATTATGCTTGATTAAATAGATAGAACCAGGATAAATAGGCAAAAGTTACTTAGAGCAAGAAAAGGCAGGAAGTTGTGGAGAGTCACGATCATCCATATTCTGAAAAGATGCTCCTTGTGTATGAAGAGATCATGTTCTGATGGAACCAATTGTAAAGTTGAGAAATCCCCTAGCCTAACACCTCAACAAATTTATGAAATAAGACATTATCACTTTTTTGTCTGTAATTTTAACGAGCTATAGAAATGCAATAAAAAAAAAAATTAACAAAAATAAACACCTCTTGATACAAAATTAATCACTAGATTTTAATACTCATGGTTACTTGTGAAACAGGAAGCTGTTACCCATATTTTTTTATAATCATTCCACCCCAAGCAGGGCAATAAAGCCACTAAGATGCAAAAGGTTGTTAAATGTTAGAGAACATAAGAAAAAATGTGAAAGAGAGAGAGAACAATAAAAGAACAACAATTAAGATAACAATTGACATTACATTTAAAGTTTTGAAGAACAAATTTGACTGGGAAGCAAGAAGCTGGAAGAGAGAGTTCCACAAGCAAGAAGTGTGATAGAAAAAACAGTTAGCATAGAATTTATGATTACATCTAGCCATTTCAATTGTAAAATGATGAGACATTGCTGCCAATTTCATACTGCACTTAAATTCATAAGGTACCAAAGAGGAAAGTTCATCAGAACAATTACCATGAAAGAATTTATAGAAAAGGCACAGGAAAGCTACATTATGGTGGTAGGAAAGGGACTAGAGTCAAGATGCCAGGTCAGGACCAATAATATTGCAGATTCTTTAGATTTTATCACAAATCTCTATATGTGTATGTGAAAGTAACTCTATATAATTATTGGCAGGAATATTACAGCCCATAACAATAAAAATTTCAACATTTGGTAATTACCGAACATTCATCATTGTAAAGCAAAGAGGTTTATAAAATATTTTCAAAGCAAATTTATGCTCACTTGTGTAAATATTTATCTTGGAAACAGGTTCTCCATATTAAGAAAATGTCTTTCTGTCTGCATTCTCGAGGAATTATTGATTGCATTTTATAAATCATTTTAACTAATATCCCAGTCTTTGAGTTTTAGCTGATGTGTCCTTTGCAATCAATTCAACATTTTTTTTCTTACACATTCTTAAGAGAGACATTCAAAGATTTTTGTGGAAGTCCAAGGGTTTATTGCTGAACAGTAAAGCCTTGGACTTACAGAAAAGTCTTTGAATAAATTGACAAATGACATTCAAATTATAGATGAATGCATGCAAATTTTGACAAACTTGGACCTTCATGTCCAAAAAAAATAAAAATAAAATGGAGTGTCAAAAAGATGGTCTTTCCATTGACACCATTATCTTCTCTTCCCCAGCAATGTTTGTTTTAAAAAAGCAATAATTAGATTTGTAGTAAAACTTAAATATATGAAAGTGAATTTATACATTTTCTTTGTTCTTGAATATTGACAACAAATATAATAAACACTATTTATTATATTGTTTATTGGAATGGTTGGCAAAACTTTGACTAATTGCCAATTAATTCAAACTTTATAAAATGGTAAATAATAAGGCTTTCTTTATAGTTGGTTCACATATTCTAATAATTTAATAAATGTTTATAAAGTTATGTATCAAAAATTATTTTCATATTTCTTCATGAATTGGTAAATGAAAAATATTGCATTTTAATTGTATCAATTTTTAGAATGTTGTAAATATAAAATTATTCTTGTAAATAAACAATCTAATAAATAAATAATGTTTAATATTTTTGTTATAAATTCTCAAGAGCAAAAAAATGTATAAATTTACTTTCATTGCTTTTTAAAACATTAAACATTGCCAAGGAGTGAAGGTAGTTAAAATAATAACAGTATCAAGGGAAAAAAAAATTTAACAATCCATTTTTTTTGTGGGAACAAGGGTCCAACTTTGCTCAAATTTTTATATGGAAGATTTGAATGACCAAATATTGCTGCCTTCAACACTTATATGGAACTTTTGAACTATGAAAAGCAATAGATATTCAAAGAATATAAACAACAAAAAAGATGATACTTGTCTGAATAATTCCTAAAATAACAATGACTAGGATTTATATAAGAATTTCAGATGACAAAAATAAATTTACCTTTTGAGAAAGTGCAAAGGAAAGGTCTTTTTCATCATTTTCTGTTAACTGACACATATCAGGCATTCCATTCATATGACAAGTCTGTCGATTACCCAGAATGCCTTCATTTAACACTTCACACACTAACGTTGGAGTTGGTCGATGTGTATCCACTAAAAAAAAAAAAAAAAAAAAAAAAACAGCTTTCAAAATACATCAAATATCTTTAAGGATGAACAAATTTATAGGTAAATATAAAAGTGTTTTTATTTTTTTTTTTTTTTAATTTCTTCAAATGGATCATTTTGGAGTCAAATGTTGACGATCTCTTTAATCAGGCACACTGTGGTATGGCATTTTTTGACTTGGTCGCCATTAGTTCATCTCCGTTTTATTTTTAGATTTGCAGTATTTGCATTATATTGCATGAAACAATGAAAACCTTGTTTGAAAGCATTAATTATTGTTTTTGTAAATGGGACTATTTTGTGAGCCCCATCAGCACGCTATGTTTGCTAGAGTTACCTCCCCTGGTATATTCATACATAGGTTAATAAAAAAAGATGGCAGCGGTTGGACTTTTGTTCCATGCCCTCCAATTGGTTGGGCAGTGTCTAGTAGCATGGGGCTCCTCTGTAGTCTATTTTCTTGGGGTAGGTACACAGGAAGATGTGCAAGGGCCGTAGGGTGCCTTGTATTTAAGTTTGGTTCTACCTTTGATTTGTGGAATGGGCTGAAAAGACTGGTTTTACATCTGTCATTTTCTGTAGTTTTACAGTAGCCTTGGCCCAAGAGTGCCAGATTAAAGAAGTTGGAACTGTATTCTATATTGATTCAGTCTGACTACAGTACACTATATGATTTCATTTACCTACAGTCAAATCTAGAAATAAAAAAAAAAAAAAAGAAGTTTTACTTAATTTTGGTTTCAAATTGAAAAAGTCATGATAATTTGGATCTGCCAAAGAAAAACTGTAAAGAGCTTCCTTTAAGCCAAAAGTGGAGTTGACTTAATAAGGTAAGTAAAAGTAAAACTTGCACATTCAGGGTTTGAAGATGTACAGCAGTGATTTTGAGCTGGTGTGTCATGAGAGGATCGTAGGTGTGTGCGAAAACTTTATTAGAAGTCATTAATTATTTTCAAAAGAAGTCCAAAGCAAAATAAGTGTACATATCAAAATTAAAACTCCCATAAATTGATTATACGAGTATATCATTAGTATAATAAACGTATTTTGCAATAAACAATATTAAAACAAAAATCATGCTATGGCGCCTTCCTTGATGAATTTCAATTTAACACCAAGAAGCTAATTAGACAACTAGAAATGGTCATTATAAAAATAATGTCTATATTATTCAATGAAACATGCTTGAATGAAGAAATGCTGCCTATATATATATATATATATATATATATATATATATATATTTTTTATGTCCTTATGCATCCCTGAAAGACATGACCATGCACACTTTACACTTAGCGACCCATCTCTCTAATAATATAACATGAACTCCCCCTCTCTCTTTAAATGTGTAATAGCAGTCGCTGACTACTGAAACAATTAGGTCAAACAGTCTGTCAACCACACCAACAGGTCTGGACTGTAGCTAAAAACAGATTCTCAAACATGCAGACTCGCATGACCAAGTACAGATGTTGAGCAGGAAAAGATTGGCAGAAGCCAGTTGGGTGACGAAACTCGAAGGAGTTGGGCCATCCATTAAGTCCTCATACAAATGGATTCTCCAAACTGAAGAGAAAGAAGGCCATCCCCAACTCACACCAACTAAACTAGTTGGGTAACAAAGCTCGAAGGAGTCAGACCATCCAATAAATTGTTATGCAAATGGATTCTCTGAACTGAAGAGAAGAATGATGTTCCCAACTCATAAATTCTAAGCACAGAATCAAGCGGAAATGTGTCTTGTGTGAATAATTCCTTTTTTACTTGTTACAGTCAAGCGAGAGATGACACGATAAAAGACAGACTCCAATTCAACGCAACACATTATGCTGCTTATATTAGATGCATAGATGAATGATGAAACATGACAGTCACCTAAAAAAAAAAAAAAAAAAGGCATTTGTGACACACACAATTGAACAAAGGATCCGAACAATGAATTCTGCACTGCTGAATATATGACTTATACAGTGCCAAATCTCTGCAACCAATTGATGAATGGTACATTGAAGAAAGAAGAATAAAGAAGTATAAAGGACAAAGAGAAACATCAGAGAAGGGGAAGAGAAAACCTTATTTTATTGCAAAAGAAAGACTGGAGTTAAGTTTTATGGTTTCAACTTTTACCCTCAAAATATAACATCTACTCATTCTTTTGCCTAAATGTTTTCATGTATTCTTTACTTCTAATTAAATCTTGGTCATTTGTATATTAGTGTTTGTCATTCATTCCTGTTGGTTACCATTCTGAATTAGTGTATTTGACCATGTGGAGAATCTGTCCACTATGGTGGGGCAAACCTGGCATCTTCTAGACAGCTAGTTGTTTTTATTATCTTCTCTTTTTAAACTTTATGTTGCAGTAATTGGCCATAACAATATATATATATATATATATATATATAAAAATATATATATATATATAAAATATATATATATATATATATATATATATATATATATATATATATATATATATATATATATATAAAAATATAAAATATATATATAAATATAAAATATATATATAAAATATAATATATATATATATATATATATATATATATATATAAAAAAGGATTTAGTACTAACAGTTTTAGGCATCTGCTGGGGACTTGGAACAAATTGTTAGAATTGTTCACTTTTTTGTTCATCTCTTATTGTGCCTAATTTATAAATTAAACCTTGTCATATGCGTGTGTTTAGGTTTTGAAAAAAAAATAACAGCATAAAAGGCAAAGATCTACACGATCTTAATGGGCAAACCGGTGGAAGAGGTTAGTGACAGTCAGGTGAGCATAACTAAAGTGGACCTTGACAGACCAAGCATCCGACAGTCCAATGCAAACAGGTTTGCCAGATCTTGACTGTCTTAATCTCAATCCCTTTTGAGCCACAAAGGAGACGCTTTTGGCCAAAGTCTATGGTCTTCTCTGTCATGTACAGTTGTCCACCAAGATTCACACAAATGGCCTCATCAAAATCTCCTTTGATTCACAGCCATCTCTGCCACCATTACCAGGGAAGAGAAAAGGAATAGGGACAAAGCATGATGCCCAGATGCAAGCAGGTAGCGATCACAATATAAGTGTGGTGGTTGCGGGGGAGTTTGGTATAGTAGTTTTTCAGGCATCTGCTGGGGGTGAGGGTGATTTTCAGACATTTCTCCTCTAAATAAGATGGAATCTTCTTTAATTTCTTCAGCCTTATTATTTCCCAATATTTAACACTTTCTTCTTCATATTTTCTTAAATGTCCGTCATATTTTGCAATGTTGAAAGTCGATCTTGAAATATATGTTTATTCCACCCCCACCCACTGTACATCATGTCCAGTCCTCTTTCCAAATTCCTGCTATTGTCCTCTCCACAATGTTCACTCTCAGAAATTCTGTCCCTCTAATCCACATGCTGAATTTGTGACTTTCCAGATAAATGTCATCAATTTTTTTTCCCTTTTTTATGGTCATGCTCTTACAAATACTTTGGTCATTTTTGGAAACTCAAATTCAACAGACATTCTGTTTTTAATCAATAACTCACACCTGCTGTTGGTACTTGAGCTTAAATCATTTGGTCAGTCGGCTAATATGCACAGCTGTTTTCAAACACCTGATTATTTACTATTGTTCTGTGTTTGCATTTTCATTTTTCTTCCATAGAGGTTAGTGTTCTCTCTTTTTCCTCCACACATAACCAGCCGTACATGATTTTAAAGTCTTTTCATGTACTTCAAGTCCCACTTTTAGTGACTGGCTGGTCTTGCTATAATCCTTTGCATCACAACTGCAGTTCTTGTTAATTTTCTTTCGGTAAAAGTTTTACTTCAGCAATGTATCTGCACGCTTTTAAATACTATTCTGATGTGGTATAGACCAAAGATCTTGAAACAATTTTCTTCTCATTGGTTGGGTGATCTGCCAACAAAGAGGGACAGAAGACTCAGCAGCAATGGAATCAGACACTGGACTACAACAAGCAGGGCATGGACAAGACTTTGACATGGGAACATCGTATGCATAGGACGAATGCAGCTGACACACCAGAAACATTAATGAAGATGAACGAATTTAAAACAACGCTGGGTAACACAAACAAAAATCCTTGGTAATGCACGGCAATTCTGTTGTGTGTTCAACATGGTATATTGCCAATCTCTGCTTCTTCCCAGAAAATGTGCCTGCTTTTATGGAGCCTAAAACTTTAGTGGTTGGCTAGCAAAGGAATCATTTGCAGAGTTAATACTGCTCAGCTCGCTGTCCTGACTATCTCATGGGGAAGCTGGTTGACACTTTCTTTCTTCATAACCAGGCATTCTGGGATTCACACCAGCTCTGTTCTTGTAGAACTGACAGGGGCAATTGGTTGTTCAGTCCGTATTTTATTTCCGCTAGTTTTCATATCAGATGTATGGTAAACGTGGCTCTAGCCAGTTTTTAGTTGTCTTCTAAACCTGTGTGTCTGTTGGTATGTCCACAAAGTAGCTATTTCTTTGAAAGAATTTCTTTCTGCTAGATTCACAGGAGTTTTGTTTGGTGCTGTAAGCAGCATACAATATTTGGCTTATTTTCTTTTCAATCTGAGAATGAAAACAAATCACTTTCTAGTATTAAAAAAAATTAAACCATTTTGATAATTTAAGAGAAAAACATTTATTTATTAAGATATTTCCAAATTGAAATTCTGTTCAGAAGTATGATGCTTTTTGACTCTGGTGTCATCAGCTTGTGTTATGGTTTCTTAGGTACATTCGAACTAAATCACTGCAGTTCCAAAGATCCAATGAAAGACCTAACTAAGATTTTTCTGTGACCATCGGCTATTATTTTTGGATAATCTAAGCTTTTATAATTTTAAGAATCAGTTTGTATGAACCGGTAGGATACCACCACTGATAATAGGGTTTTATATGAAATAGGGTTATTATTTGTTATAGGTTATTTTATGTAAACAAATTATTATATGTAATAGGGTTTTATATGTAATAGGATATTATTAAATGTAAAAAGTGGAGTTGCACTTTAAAATATGTAGATATTTATCCACTTGCTCATTTGGATAGAATGTGGCAGAACATGGAATTTAAAATGACAGTCCAACACCTACATGGGGATTAGTGACAAAAAATTGCATATTTGAAGGTGCCTAAGGCAGTCTCCAGGGATTTTGATCCCAAGGCGGTCCTGCCATAAAAATGTCAGGGAATTATATGTACTTGTGAGAAAACACTAATGAGATGAACAGAAACACAAAACAATTAAAATCCAATCATACACAGTGAGTGTATTTGGGTTTATTAACTGGGGAAATCTACAGAAGGATGCTGAGAATATCATAGATTAACCATGTGAGCAACAACAAAGTTCTAGAGACAATGGCAGCAAAATATAACTTATACTTAAAACATTTGGAAGAGATAGTTGAAGTTTCTAGCATGCATAATGAGGAAGGAGGGTTTGGAAAATTTGATACTCACAGAACAGATTGAAGGTAAGAGAGACAGAGAAAAATAACAAACAACCTACCTGGTGAACTTTAGAGAATGAATGGCGGAACAGGGTATGGTAAAAAGACAACCGTTATTAAGAGCTATAAGGGACGGGAAATTGTGGAGAGCCATGATTGCTAACATTCTAAAGGGACATGGCACATAGAATCTAAGAAGAATTGGGGGAATAGAAAGACAAGGAGTTTAACAACAGCCGAGCTAGGATTGTTATCCCATAAACACTGCCTTTTCTGTTTCTTTCGTCCACTGCTTTGTGTTGAAAGAGAAAGTAGACCTGTTAACAGCTTGAATGACCATAAGCCTTTCCTACCATGACAATAATAGAACCATTTATTAATAAATTATTTATTTAAATTTATTAATAAAAAATAAATGAGGGGCTTATTTTCCCACTCCATATTTATTTATTCTTTCTCTAGTTTTGAAAATATACTTTGTGGTTAATAAGTGGGGGATGAGTTTGCAACTATTAAAAATACAAAATTGATCCTCGACTTTATATCCATGTTTGTGATTTGAATATCTGTAGGCAATATCTTTAATTCTTAACAAATGGACAAGGTTTTGATGAGGAACGAAAATATTTTATCTAAAAATTTTCTTTTATTCTCAACTACAAATAAAATTGAATTCTAAACAGACTATTTTTTTTTCATATGACCACAGATTAAGCTGTCTAAATCAAACAAATAGTAAAATATTAAATAAAAAATTTATTAAATTTTATAAAAATTAATAATGGTGGGTGGTCCTATTTGCAATTCATTGTAAATTGATCCATCTACAGAAATCAAAGCAAATATGCTCATATGACATGTTTTTTTAAATTTAAAAAATAAATTTTATTTTTAAATTCATAATCTGGAAGGTTCATATGGATAGTGATATATGGAGGAAAAACAAAAAAAACACACACACACATCCAAATTAGGAAATTCAAATTTTTTTTAAATTTTATAAAATGTTGTATGAACATATGTTTTGGTTTCGATTATGGAAATCAATTTAACAATGAATATACATAGCAAAAAAGACACCCTATTAATTAACATTGTGTGACATGATCCTCCTTATTTATACTAAAAATAATTAAGTTGAATTAAATCAAAGATTTGAAATATTGATATTTAATATAAAATTTAACAATTCATCTTTTATTCTGTATCCTATTTCTTAAAATACAGCCTTGACTGCTTTTAAATTGGACCAACGGTCAAATTGTCAATTTCATATGAAGCGTTTAACGATTTTAATTTTATATGTGGCATTCAACAGTAAGGATCATCCTTATACCAACTGATCAGAAAGATTGCGGCTGTTATATCAAGAAGTAAAAAAAAAAAAAAAAAAGGTTTATCCTTTCTCTGTAGGCTAGCTACCATGTAAAATTGACTACTGATATTCCAGAGATGGAAAGTAAAAAGTAAAAGAAACTTTCAGGATTATCAGGAATTCAAAAGTGAGGATCATATATCTTCTGTGAATGAAATGCAAAGTGCTTTCAGTTTGGTAGATCCAACAAGCTACACTAATTGACCGAAGCAATTCTATGTGTGAAGGGAAATATCTCAAGATGCTTCTACTATGAACTTTCTACTCGAATTATAAAAAAAGAAAGAAGTAATAATCAGTAAAATAATAATAGCCATTGACCAGCAAAAACTTATTGATGACACAAGTGGCCATTGAACATTCTTCTAATAATAATCTTTTGAATAATAATTTTCTTTCTTTTCTTTTATTCTTTATTTGTTGTTTCCTTCTTCTCTCATTCCATGTTTTTATACATCAAAATAATTATAACTTTACATCTCGTATTTCTTTTCGATACATTGTCCATGTTGATTTTGGTCCCTAATTGAGTAGAAAATCCCATTTTTTTTGTTTAAATGAACTCATTCGTTGTTGAAAGATAAATTTCATAATTGTTAGAAACAAAGAAAAAGCTGTTAAATTATTGTGTAATATCTAATCTCCTATACGGCAGTGAATGCTGGGCAATTTCCTCAAAAATGAAGAAATAGTGGCTTGAAATGACAGAGACTTAGTTCAAAAGAAGAATGCCATGAACTGAACATGCGATCAAGGAGGAAGTCTTAAGGAAAAGTCACTTTTACTTTAGGTCACTTTAATCAGAAAGAGATAGTTGAAATTTCTAGGACTCATGAGGAAAGAGGGCCTAGAGAATCTAACACACAGAGGACATATTGAAAGAAAGAAAAACGAGTAACCTACTTAACAGGTTTCAGTGAATCTATGGCAGAATAAGGACAAAGATGGATGGTAAAGAATCAAATGTTACTTAGAGCAACAAAGGAAAGTTGTGGAGAGCCATGATCACCCATGTCTTGAAGGGATAGGCACATAAAAGAAGATAGTTTACAATGAAATTTAAGAGGTCTTGCTATTTATCTTATATAAACTTAGACTAATTTTTCTTTTTTATAGTAATGTTTACACAATATGAGGCCTAAGAGCCACTCACGGTAGAGGTCTACTGTGTGGTGTTATGAGGCTATTATCACAGTGACAACAAAGATGAGGACAACAGTCCACATGTAAATAATGATAACTCCTTGTGCCAGAAATTCAGACAGAAAATAAATAAGCAGGTTTGCATTTCATATTGTACAGGCCTTCCTTATCTTGAGTTGTTAGTTTTAAATTTTATTTTACTCTTAAGTATTAGGTAATTTAAAGAAGTGCCTTTGGTTCCTGAACAGAACATTTATTTTTTTAAAGTGAGGCTTTCTCAGAAATACTTGTAGCTCTCTTTAAAATATTAAGTCAGAAACTTCTCAAAGCTTTCCTACTTAAATAGTGGGGAGTTACAGTATAGATAACAGAACTGCAGTGTGAAGAGAGTTATTTAGGGTTATTGCCCAAGGATGGCATTTGATTGCCTGTTGGTGATATGAAATAGAATTTGTTTTACCTTTATCTTTAACAATGAACGAAAGGGGTCCATCTTCAATAACAATGATGCTGTTAATGTCTGCAAAGTCAATTAATTTCTTCTGATCAACATAAATGAAGCTGTCATCCATATTGTCTAGGAAATCTGTATTATTTGTGAAGCGAACAATTGAATGGGACTTAAGGAAAATTTCACGTCCAAGACTCTAAGGAAAAAGAAAAAGAAAAGAAAGTAAGTCTAAAAAAAAAAAAAAAAAAAAAAAAAAAAAAAAAAAAAGTTATTCATACACATTATACAGGGTGTCCCAAAAACTTTGACATCATTTCACAGGCCAATAATTTTGGAAATTCTTGTTGAAATAACCTCAAATTTTCACAGAATGTATAGAAACAGATCAAGATTTTATATTTAATGCAAGAGGACAGTATGTGCTTATCTCAATTAGAATCTGCCAGAGAGATGAATCGGATATGGTGGAGATGAAGACAGTTTTCTGATGAAATGGTGGCCACAGTCACTGGACTCTGCTCCCGTGTGCTTTCTTTTTATGGGGATATGTGAAGGGACTGATCTATGTCCCCCATCTTCCTGCTAGCATTGATGAACTCAAGCTAGAGATAATGTTACTGGAGCATGTTTGGTAAGAGCTTAACTACTTGACATTTGCTGTGTCACATATTGAACACTTAATGATATCACTCCCATAATAAACTTATGATGTTCAACACCTAAACTGTTCAATCTCATTGCACTAGACTTCGTAGCTTTAAAGATAATTGCTTTTAAAATGATGTCAAATTTTTGGGGACACCATGTATATATATTAAAAAGTTAGAAATCACTTACACAGCCACTACCATGGTTTCAACCATTTATAAAAATTTTATTTTTATTTTAAAAATGTTATAATTGCATAAATGTATAATGGTCTAGGTTGTTTTTTTAATACATGTTTTTTGAGAGAAGCATATTTTTATGAAGGCCAGACAGCTTGTGTAAAAATTGTTATATTTTTTATGCTCCTTTTGGCTCAGCAGTTGATACTGCCAAAATTATTTGTTGATTCATTTTTTGAATTCATGGAGAAAGGTTTCTATTTACTGGCCAATGAGGAATAAGCTCTTCCAGCCCTTGTGAAAACTCGGATTGAGTTGGTGTGATACTCTTTTGTTCAATAAAAAGGACTGCTATTTAGTGAATTGGAAACAAGGCAATCAACAGGAAGCATCTAGAGCCCACATTTCAAAGCTGAAGGAGTAGCCCAGCCAAGAGGGTCATGAATCAACACAGGGAAGGAAAGAGCCAACAGATTCAAGACAGATGCTACCCCAGGACAGAACATTCCTTTCTGAGCCTTCCTGAGAAGAATTTAAAGCAAACAAACATTAAAGTTAACTTTCCAGCAAAGTACTACAAAATGTCCTCAAGAAAACAACCTGTGAAAACATGAAACACCTTTGAGCTGAGATGTCCCATTTGAGTTTTCAGTTAAGAACCGAGGTCGGTGCATTTTGTATTTTCTGCCTTGTGCAATTTTTTTTACTTCCTCAAAGTTTTTCCCTTTTTAAAGAGTGTAATCTTTTTTTGTCTTTGAATCCATGACTTTTCTAAAAATAGTAACACTTTTGTTTGCATCTGATGGTAATCCCTTTTTTGTAAGGTCAGAAATTTGTTATCCTACCATAATAGATGCACAAAGGAAATTTTGTATTGCAACTTTGTATTTTTACCTTTTCTCATAATTGTGTTGTAAAATAAATGTGTTTTTCTTTTAAGATCAAACATAGTGTTTTTTCTTTCTTATAATTTACACCTATTATTGTGTCTTGTTATTTCTACTAAGTTTTTGTGTTTGGTACAAGAACTTCGATTTGGTAGGAAGAAAATTTTTATACATTAAGGTCTTTTTAGGTAGTGGATGCTAAATTATATATATATATATATATATATATATATATATATATATATATATATATATATATATATATATAAAGAAATATAGTTTTAAGTGTGTGCTATATTTATGGGATAAAGTAATCAATATCAGAGATAGATCATATGTAAATATAAAAGTGAACATTGAAGTCAACACTTCAACACACGACAATGTTTCATGCTAGACGCAATCAGCAAGCCATATATATATCTATATATATAGCTAGCCACTTATATTCAAGGATACCCATCTATTAGAGTGGTTAGCCAATCCCCATTGTAGACACTTGCTAAGACGCATTTGTGTTCATTCAACACCCATGAGCTCACCCGTAGTTTATACTGCAACTATGCTGAGCAGACTTTAGTTACAGTTTCTGGAAAAGAGTGTATTATCTAGTATGATCAACAATCTGAACAAGGCCAACACACTCAAACCCTCATCCACGATGACTTGTGACTGCGCTATTGATGACACCTAAGGGTTCTGTCTACCCAATTTCACTCACAAAGCTTTGGTCAACCCTTGGTATGGTTTTCAGGCACTTTTTAAAAGGTGCTGCATGCTGGGATTGACCCATCCAGTCCGATAATATCAGGAAGTCTCCTTTCTAACAAATCGACCATGGTGATATTCGAACCCAGGTCTCATGGTTAGAATATGAATGTTCTATCTACTCAGCCATGTGCCCATATATATATATATATATATATATATATATTTTTGAACAATAAGAAAATTAAAAATTAAAAAATTAAAATCATTAGACACACTGGGTTGTAGATTAATATTCTTTCGTTTTTTTATTATTATTATTATTCCATTTAGATTCCTCGACTAGTTTCGACCAAAATGGCCATCATCGGGAGGCGAAATATTTCTGCTTGCTGTTGGCAAGGAACTACAGAAATGAATATATATATATATATATATATATATATATATATATATATATATATATCTCATTCGCATACTGGCCTGTTTCGATGTATCACAGCTCATCAATGCAATTAGACAACTGAATGCTTCAAGTCAGGATCAAAACCAGACTGATTTGGTATCAGTTGGAGTTTCTCTCCCTAAGCCATCAGCACTTCGGAAAGATGAATTCTAGCGTATTGTTTTTATGAATATATAAACAAACACCAGAAAGCCATAGTCCTCCATTCATTAATGAAAAGCAATGCGTTAGCACTGACAGCTGCTGTTTATTGAATTTGCCTATCTCTCAACAGTGCTCAACTGAAAGATTTTCAAGAGCGTAATATATCTCAATAAATATATTATCATAACTTGATAATGAAATTAAATATATAAAATCTTTAGAACTAAGCAACCATAGAGTAAATTTAGAGTATTTAGAAAAAAAAAACAAAAATGATAAAAATAAGTAGAAACACCAAAGACATAACATAATAAGGTTTAATCCACCTTTTAATCATAATGTTCAAACAAATATTCAAAGAATTTTTCATAAATTTAGTTCATAAGCACTTTAATCATTCCCTAACACTAAAACAGACCAAAGTGGGGGAAAAACGTCCCCATGGATCAAACCTAAGTGGGAAGAAGACGGTGTCACAGGTCAGACTGATTCTCTGAGCATCGTGAGTAATAATCATCAGTTGCTAATCAGTCATGGTTGTTACATTAATGTATTGCTTCTCCTGGGTGAATACCTTAGCCAAATTTAAGAGGTTCAATCTAGAACACACTAGAAATCAGCACCAAAACAACCACCAGTGTCAAGTCTCAGTCATCTTTTATATTAACAATGAAAATCAGGCAAAGACTTTTGCAATGATATTATACAAACACAAGATATCAAGATTAGCATCTTTTTTTTTTTTTTTTTTTACATTGGCTTTCTTTGTGGGGGGCAAACTTAATCAATAAAAATCGTCTGAACAAGCAGCAGTCATAAGATTAATTCTAAAAATTGATATATTTTGTGAAACAAAAGAATTAACAAAAAAAAAAAAAAAAAAATGTTTACACACAGGTTTTAGTCGGCCCAATCGAACTTCTGGTCCAGCAATATCAATGGCAATCCCAACTGGTGAAAAATGGCCTGAGATTGCCTTTCGGATTTTCTCTATCATTTGAGTATGATACTGAAAAGAAATAAACGAAAGTTAGAAAGAGAATTTTGGGGCGTCAATTTACAAGGAAAAAACAAAACTTAGAGATTTTTTTTTGTCTGAATTTCTGGGACGAGGAGTTATCAATACTTACACTATTTATTTTCAGACGATTTAGCAACTGTTTTGTTGATTTCAATCTTCACTAGGAATGACTGCAAAATACTTGTCCCTCCCCTTTTATAGGCAGAAGCATACAAATGCATGCTGGGATTTTTTTTTCTTAGCCAATAGGCCAGTTCTCAGCATCATCTGACTCAGTACTGATTTGTCTTGAAGTCAGAACACGACATTCACTTATCCAAACTTGCTTTTGTTTGTCAACACTAATTCTTAGTTTGTGAACTTTTTGCCTTCTTACTTGTTGATTTACCATATTACTGTTGATTTGCTGTGCATATATTGTTTACTTGCTTCATAATCTTTTTGCCCCATTCCTTTATTTCTTTATCTTGTTATTGCTTATTGCAAACCTTGACTTTATTTTTGCATTCAACCATGGCTACACACCACAATTGCTTGCTCGTTTACATTGTGAGTTCAATCCTTGGATCAGGCAGTGTGTATTTGCACTCAATGAAAAATGGGTGAGCAATAACTGAGCAGTACTCAATAAAAATAATAACTAGACGATATCTAGACATGAGAAGTGAAATGAGAATAGTCTACCCCCAGAGATTAAATAAAGGGTTCTATTAAGAATTCAGTGTAGGTTACCCAGATCAATATATACCTGAGGAAGGCCGGAGAGCACAAACATAACAACAACAAAGATGAGGACAATAGTCTGAATATAAATAGTGTAGATATTTTTAGAGATCTTAATCACAAAGTACAGATTCAAACTGTTTTTGTGAAATTCATAAACTTATAGGTACCTCCAAAGATTTGCTTAAAAAGGAGTATGTGTGATGAAGAGTTTGCTTTTGGTCAGAAGTGGAGTGAATATTTCTCCTTATTTTAGATGGGAGAAGATACTTTGTCCTTGGAAGAGGTGGGGTCTGTGTAAGATCAATGCCAGCATGACAGTGGTCATGGGGATGGGGTAATTTTTGTCCTTGGCACATATGCATACGTAGGTGTATGGAGCTCTACACAAAATAAATTAACTTTGTGTCACATCCTGTCTTAGTGGGAAGGACAGATAAACATATACATGATTCATAAAAACATGTTTTTATCGTCAAAATCTTTGTTATTATTAAGAGGCAAGACCAAAGAATGTTTTCATTATTAAATTGTTTTTTTATCTCTTTTAGAATCTTAAAAATTTTGTTTTTCTTGTGTCAGTGGGCAACCATAAATTAGTATGGGCAATTTTAGCATCTTTTTGAAGTGCAAAACATACTAATTTGGAAATTTTTGCAAAAATTTTAATGAAACTTTCAGGATTTATTCACAAATCAAACTATTTTTGAAAAGTTTTTTTTTTTTTCCCAAAACATCTGTTAATACCCCCCACCCCTTATTAGATGAAATTATTTTATAGCCCTTAAAGTTTATATTAGTTATAAGTCCTTGGAGAATTTAAATCATGAAATATTTTTGGTCAAATAGGACCCCCAGTTAGAGAAAAATCGGTTTTGGATTGTAAAAGAAAATATGCAATAAAACTAAAACATTAATAATAGCTTGTATGTATAAAATATATTATGAACAATATTGTCTTAAGAAATAATTTTTTTGATGAATAATGAATTTTTAAAAGAGTATATATATTTTAAAATAAAAATATAAGATGAAATAAATTGTACATTAGAAAAAAATTTTAACTTTAAAAGATAAGTTAAATCAAAAACAAGTTATATTATAAAAAAAACATCAATAGAAAGTTATATTTAAAAATTCTTAAAAATATAGATAAAGAGGTGATGATGATAAAAGAAAAGAGATTCCTTAGAACAGGGGACAATTACAAGATATAATTAATATGGTGCTAAAATGGAAATCTAGAAATTAGAAATAGTCATACGTTCAACATTTGAAGAGTTAGAAAATTATAAGGTAATAAATTAAAATCTATATTTTGGATTTCCATCTGAAGTAATTATGGATTTTGTTATGTAATACTATTTATTGGCTCTGTTATAATAAATACATTGAGCTCTTTTTGTGGATCAATTTTAATATTTTATATTACTAGGATCTACTTGGATTATATACCAACAGATTTATTACATTTACTATAATAATCGACTCCCATCGAGTTCGACGTATGAGGGTCAGGCCGATAAGTTTCCAGGAAACCGACATCCCGACATCGGCACATGAGATTTGATTATAGTGGTGAAGGCCTCGTGCAGGACCAGCCACACTTTTTGGAGGGACGAATACAGAAACCTGGTGCACCGAATGCCACAAGGTTCCCAAACCACCCTCCGCATGTTTTGAATTCAGAGTTGTCCTTCTCCTAGACCAGTTGCCATCCAAGGCTATAGAACCCAGTCTGTCCTGCTATTTTACCCATAGCTGGAGGGAGATGAAGAGGATTCATACCTTTCCCAAGGGTATTAGCATCGTAAGTGAATGTAATGGATTCGACTGGAATTGAACTTCGGCTCTCTTGATTCCTCAATCCAAGCCGCTATCCATTACTCCACCGTGCCTCCCATCACATTTACTATATATATATATATATATATATATATATATATATATATATATATATATATATATGAGAGAGATAGTTTAATAATCCTATATTGTCCTTATCTTCAGTGATGTTATCACAACGTTTTGGCTGTTGTATCCTCCAGCCTTCCTCAGGTGTATATTTGATCTAAGTAATTTACAAGGGATTCTGAACTGAACCATCTATTTAATCTACAGGCATAGACTTTTCTTGTTCCAATGCTCATATCTAGGGATATCGTCTAGTTCTTATTTTTATTTAGTACTGTTCAGTTATTGCTTGGCCGTTTCCAATGTGTATGTATGTAAGTGAATCCTGCACACACAAGGGTATGAAAAAGCCCCCAGAAAAAAAAGTTTTTCTTTTTAAAGGAACCCAAAAAATTATTTTTCTACCAAGATTTAATCTTTGTCTCCTCATTTCTATAAAAGAGTTTATCAGCCCTTGAACTGATTTGCTCTAAACTTTAATATCTTAAAAGAATTTGTCTTTTCTGAGAATTTCTATACACACATTCTTTATTCTCGATTTTATTTCATGAATAAAATCTGTAAAAATATTTTTCACTTGATCAACTGAAGAACTGAAAACTTTACACATTCCCTTGCACACTCTCACCTGATCTCAGGTAAGTCTTGTGACCTGTCAGTTCAGAAACCCCTCCCCATATTGAGGTCTTATGTTTGTATAATTAGCGAGCTTGTATCCATTGCCGGTCCGTCATGTAGTTTACACTAACCTCACTAAGTATTCCCCAGCAGTTACCCACCCATCTGAGTATTGATCGGGCTCAATGTTGCTTAACTTCGGTGATCATGTTTCAACATGATATAGCTGTAAGTAAAATACTTTACACTTAATAAATATACTTACAGAATATCGATCACCATATGCCATCACCAAACGAAAAATATTCACTCCTGCCAAAACCATGTCTTGAAGAATTTCAACATTGTCACATGCTGGACCTAAAAAATTTGGAAAACAGGATTTGTACAGTTAGACAAAATACAAAATAAAAATACAAATGGTTATATACGGTATTGTAGCTTGAAGCAATTTTCTAATTGGTTGGGTGATCTGTCAACGAGGAGGGATGGAAAACTTAGCAGCACTGGAATGAAACAGTAGATCACGATGAGCAGAGCATGGACAAGACTTCCACACAGAGTACCATGTATATGAGTTGAACACAGTCAAAACACCAGAAACGTAAACGAGGATGAACCAATTTGAAACAATGCTGGGTAACACAAACAAAAATCCTTGGTAATGCATAGCAATCCTATCGTGTGGTCAACATGGCACACTGCCTCTTCCCAGAAAATGTACCTATTGAGCCTAAAACTTCAGCAGTTGGTTAGCAAAGGAATCATTTGCATCTTTAACACTACTCAGCTCACCGTCTTGACTATCTCATGGGGAAGCTGGTAAACACTTTCTTTCTTCATAACCAAACATTCTGGGCTTTGCACCGGATCTGTTCTGGCAATAGTCTCTCAAGGGGACATTTGTTTATTGTAACTGGCAGTAGTTTAGGATCTGATCAGTGGTGATGGTTGGTGAAGGTAACAGTTAAATCTAAACTTGAAGGAGGTAAGATTGTAATGATTGAGAAAGCGTCCTCTTGGGACTCAGTTCCACAAAGTAGCAGTTCATGGAAAGAAACTGCTCAAGTGGAACATACATGTCATCAATGGAATACGAAGGGAAGGAGGTTAGTTTGCTATAACATGCATGGCACAGCAGATCTTAGCTATGAGGTTTAGAAACGATGGAACTAAGGAATGTAGCTCATTTGAACACTTTCCAGGGAAATAGCAATAGAATAACAAGAGATTTGCAATATTTTGTCTGTGAGGAAAGGGGTTGTAGGGTGGAAAATAATTCCACAAGGCTGTGTTGACTGTAATAGAAGTGACAGTGACTTACCAGGAGCAAAGCGAATTCGCTGCCTCGCGTGTCGAACCATTCTCTGAGAGTCGGTCGCGCATGTGTACTTTTGGATTATTGAGTCATACAATTAAATCATCATCCTAACTGCTGATCAAGCTAAGCTCAATCAGCAATGTGTGTATCAAAATGATGGTTATTCCCTTGACACCACTATTATTACTGTATACATTTTTGATTCCCTCAGCAATGTTTATTTACAAAATTATAAAAAAAAAATATATGAACCAAGTACAATTTTATATTTATTATTTATCATTTTATAAAGAAATAAATTCGAAAAGAAATCTTTTTATACAAAAATTTAAAAAATTACAAAATTATCAAAATATGTAAACCAGATTCAAAGAAATATTTATTATTTACCATTTTAGAAATAACTGGAAACAAACTTTATTCAATCTAATAAATAATAATAATAAGGGTTTAATATTTATGTTGCCAATTCTCAAGAATAAAAAAAATGTATAAATCCACTTTCTTGTTTGGACGTTTTTATAAATTTAGGAATAAAAAACATTTCATATTTATTCTTTTATAAAATGGTAAATAATAAATGACATTATTGTTGGTTCACATCTTTTTATAATCTTGTAAATATAAAATTATTCTTGTAAATAAACAATCTAAAAAATAGGGTTTAACATCTTTGTTTTCAATTCTCAAGAATAAAGAAAATGTATAAATCCACTTTCATATGTTTGGATTTTATTAAAATTCTAATCCTCACTTTCTAAAACAAAATACATTGCCGAAGGAGTCACAAGTGTGTACAATAATAGTGGTGTCAAAGGAATAACTGTCTTTCTGACACCATTTTTTGCCACTCAATCAATGTCAATTTCCATTTTCCAAAATGAGCCAAATTTTATATGTGAAGCTGAAAAATAAAATCTTAATTCATATTTAAGAGAAAAAAATTGTTTAAAACTTTCTTTGCAGTTTGTGATTGTATGTTTTTCTCTTGATTCAGATTTCAATTTAGAATTTGATAATTTTTTTGAAAATGCAATTTTTAACAAAAGTTTTTTAATAAACGTTTCTTTGTAAACTAAAAATACATAAAATGAAGTTTCTTCCATTTTGGTTTCATTTGTACCAGATTAAATTTCTTGTTTTTTCATTCATTTCCTTCACTGGTAACTATTTTTTTTTTCAAAAAATGTATTGCTGGTAACAATTTTTTTTTTTTTACAAAGTATTTCTGGTATTAAAACCTATTTTTACACTTTCATGGTGTCTTTGGGGTTAATTATTTGCCCATAGTTGGAACCTTAACAGGTGCTACCACCCAGGTCAGGGTGAACCTGGGAACACCAGCAATTAAGATTATATATATATATATATATATATATATATATATATATATATATATGTATATATATATATATATATATATATGTATGTGGGTAACCAGGAGTCCTGACTTAACACATTGTGTCTTTTTTCTTTATGGTTAGTTAAAGGAGCAAGTCTACTATATCAAACCAAGACTTTGAAAGAATTTGAAGTGTGAATACAGGAAGTCATGTCTTCCATACCACAAGAGTTCCTGGTGAAATCTGTTGACATGATTCCTGAGTGACTCTAGAATCTGATAGCAAAATCTGGTGCTCATATTGAATTTTAAATAAAACCTCATGGTAAAAGCTTTCCTCTTGTATTCATTTATTTTAAAAATTATAGTTAATAAATAAATTATAAGTATTTTCAAATGGGAAGTTACTTTTCAATCAATCAATCAATCAATCTGTGTGTATATAAGTGGACATTGAAGTTAACACCCAGAGGTGACAGTCTGTTTCATGCTAAACTATCATCAGGCCAGATATTTATTGTACAAATATGCCACAAGGGCAAAATGGGGAAGAGGAGGTTGGTCCTCACTTGTCCTATCGATAGCTAGCCTCAATCACTGGCCCAGTCAGTCATATATTGTTCCTTTCACCAAAACATCTCATCTACATAACACTGCCTTACCCAGAGACATAATACCACATTTGCTCTAAGAATCTTTACCTAATTCCATATGTACAGTCTTGGTGGAGGGCTGGGTTGATAAACTTCCCAATGTTCATGATGTAATAATATTTACACAACTAAGCAAAACAGTGTTAGTAAGGGCAGAGATAAAAGTTAACTGGACAAAAATACCGTGGGATTATTAGAATTATTTACCCATGAAATGAAAGATATCCCACATTTACTAGAGAATTGTAATCCCCGTCCCCTAAATAGGGAGGAGAAGAGGAAAAATAAAAGGGGACAAAAATAAAGAGGCTGATGACCATCCATACCCTCAGTTAAATTCAAAACCAAAAGAAAACAACCTATGCTAGTCTTTCATTGGACTGGGATGACAAACGTTTAATCAGGTAGCCAATATCCTCAATCTTTGGTCACCTCCAAGTGCCACTCGAAATTAGCGCCTCTCAAGCAAATCAAATGCTAAATATTCACCCCTCTTTCCTTGAGTCACCTCCTTTCTGCTCTGATTTTGACATTAAGCTGATGTCTAAAGAACACAACCAATTGAGAAGAAGAAAACTTCCCATCTCCATAAAACTCCTCCTGCCGTGTCATCCAAATCATGAATCTCAAAATGCTGAGCAATTATAAAAACACAGTGTTCATTCCTCTTCAGTTGTAGCACAACATTGCTACAAATGGAACTCAAAGACAAGAAACTTTCTGCCCAGGATGTGAACCATGTAGCCTTTAATCAGTTCACTCAATGGCCGTACAACACTACGGTGAATTAAAATGTGCCCCAAGGTCTCCACAAGGCCACTGCAGCATGCACATTTTGGTGTAACTGCCAACCCCACTGCATAGAGCCTTTTTGCCAATCCAGAGGGCCTTCCATGACACTAGCCATGTGAGTGATACCTTGTTGTTATTGAGACTCCTCAATCCAGACACCCAAGGCCACAGAGAGCGAAATTCTTCATTCGTCAAAAAGCCCATCCCTTAGATTATCTTAAGTGGCCCTAGACACTAACGCACAATATAATGCCTTAAGAGACAACAGCCAGGTGTCACAAAGGCCTTCCTTAACCTGTGCAAAGCCTTTCAAAGCAAATCAACACTTGCAATAGACAGAGCACTCAGCTCAAGGATTACGGCAGGCCTCCTGTTCACAATCATGCACACTTCTCAAATACAGAAATGCTTTCTTAGCATCTTCCTTCTACAAGAAGCTATTACCCTCATCATGTATATTGTAGTAAAGAAAAGACTGTCAACTTATAGTAGCAACTGCAAAAGATTTCTTCTGTTTCTCAACCACAACACTTGTAGCCAAATTGCAGTTCAAACGATAGCCTGTTGTAACAGTACAACAAGCAAAGTAGAAACAACAAAATGGGGTCACATGAGCAAAAATGTGTGTTCCGCTCAAGCTCAGAAAATCTTCTGCCTTTATAAGCGAAAAAACAACAGCTTTGGTTCATCAAGAGATCTTTCTGATTGGTCACGCCATTCAGGGGAGGGGAGAACATTAGCATAGATTCTAGTCATTGAAGTAGATTTTTGCTAACTACTTTTTGGTAATTTTTCTTTGGCAGATCGCACACAGAACACAAACTTTTTTTTGGGGGGGGGTAACTGATTATCTCTTTCACTACATATATGCATTCAATCTAGAAGAGTCGGAGCATCTGTTGACAAATCTCAATGCTGGGCATTTCTTGACCCGCTCTTAGACAGGTGGAGACAACAGACCTTGCAAGGCACCCTATGAGCCTTGTCACCCTACAAGAGGCAAAACAAGACAAACTAATTAAACTAGTTCAGTGTATGGAAGCAGAAGTACCAAGAGATGGTAAAGAAGGATTGTGTAGATGTGTGAGGCACATACTTCCGCCATCCCCTTTAAGGAAAATCCCCTCTGGGACCACAGATGAACCGTAGCCTCAGCATTTTCCCAGATTTCCAATCAATTCTTTTCCAACTGGCAGTCAGAACCAAACCAGACACCAAGTATCTTGAGAGGCCCATCTGTCTAAATGAAGGGCCCAGAAAGACTCCTCTCCATGCACCAAACTGCAAACCCACAGACTTGTTATGGTTTATCTTAGCTCCTGTTACCATCCCATACTTGCTGATTTCCTTGCCAACTTCAGTCTTGGCCTTCCTTTTCACAAATGCAGTCACATCATCGGCAGGGTTGCTGCAGTGGTTGTACCAGCAAAGATAATTCTATGTAGCACCAGATTTGCATTTTGCTTGTGAAGGAAGGGCTCCAACATAAGAATTTAAAGCATTGGTGAATGCAGGTGACCCTGATAAATTGATCTGGATAACATGAAAATTTTGACCTTACTCTATTCATTTCCACCACTGCACGGGGGGTTTCTGCTGACAAGAGATGGATCCAGGATCAAAAGTATGGACCAAAGTCAGCCAACTTGAGTATAATCCCAACAAATCGATGGTCAACCCTATCAAATGCCTTGTACTGATTTAAATTGATCAGCATGGCTTCATTGTTGACTTGTTCTACAATACAGTGCACCATATGAATGTTATCCTGAATAAACCTACCCTTCACGGCACAAATCTGCTTGGGGAAAATCAGACTAGGCAGAACAGCCTGCAAACGGTTACAAACAGTTGGCCAAAATCTTTAACTCTGTATTTAACATAGTTAAGAGCCGGAAATTATTAATCCCATTCCCGTCATGTTTATTCTTGCGAAGCAACTTGATCACACTTCTGGTGAAGCATTCAGGAATACTCCCATTCTTCATCCATTGGTTAAAGACCAGTGCCAGCAGAATAATAAACATGTTCTGCCACTATAAACCCTATGATTCACTATTTCCAGCTATACCAGTGTGACATTTCCAATCCCAATAGATGCCTATTTATGGCTGCACAAAATAAATGTAAACATGTTCTCAATGGAGCTAAATCTTTGTTTACTGAGAGAATGAGGTATCTTATTCCATCTAACAACTTTGGCTCTTGTGATTACCAGTAGTTCTCTAATAGTGTATTAAATAGGAGTAAGTTTTCTATTCTTCCTCTCTTCAAATCAATTTAAAGTATTAATATCTTCTGCTAATAAAGCTAAATATTTTGCCTATAAATTTTCTTTAAACTCTACTCTTGATTCACTTGGGGAATCCTTGCTTAACTTTCCACTTAGAATTGAGTCTCTGTTGAGTGATATACAAATAACCAACTTCCATGGTTTCTGCGATCATCTCTAATCTGGATCCCCACAAAGCATGTGCACCTGATTGCATTCCTGTAATAGTCTTAAGAAGCGTGCTCCTGAACTGGCTCCTGTTCTCTTGAAACTATAATAAATGCCTCACTACCTCTCTTGCTTTCTTGGAAATCCTCCTCTGTTGTTCCAGTCTTTAAGAAATCTGGTGAATTGTTCGACCCTTCCAACTATCAACCTATTAGCCTTTTACCTCTTTTTGATAATACTAGAGGCTCTAATCAATGCTGAATTAGTTAAGCATCTCACATCACGAGGCCTACTTTCAGACAAATGTCTCATTTCTCTAGGTCAACTGCTGATATATTTACGATTATTGTGGAGTCTATCATGCTTTATATAAGAATGGTTAAGCTTGGACTGTTGCTATGGACATCTGAAAAGCATTCGAAAGGATTTGGTATACCGGTCTTCTTCACAAGAATTTTTCAACTGTTTCAGTCTTTCTTATCAAATTGTGAAATGAAAGTTATCATAAACAGCCACTCTTCTAGATCCTTTTGTATTGATGCAGGTGCCCACCCCGAGTCCTAATTTGTTTTTAATTTTCATTAACAACATTCCTGATGGCATCAGCTCTCAACTTGGTATTTATGCCGATGGCACAACCATTTACTCCTAATAAGTCTGATCAGTTCAGCAATGTCAAATTGGCAGCTGATGGCAAAAACGACCTACAGTCTGTTGTTAATTGGGGCAAAGAATGACTTGTTAATTTTAACACATCCAAAAGAAAATTGCTCTCTATTAATCATCTGAGAGATCCATTTCTGCCTTCCATCAGCATGGCTGATGCTAACCTCCAAAAGTCCTTGTGCTTTGGGTGACTCATTGCACATTCTTTGGCTGACAAGAAATGTAAAGACTATATTGAATCCATTGCTAGGCCAACTGCTAAGAAAGTTGATTCACTATGTTGTAAGTTCTATGCTAACAGTTTCTTTTCTCGCACTTCTTGCTTGTAGAATTCTCTTCTGGCTCCATACTTTCCAGCTTTTATTCTTCAAAAATTCAAATGCAATGTCAATTGTTATCTACATTTTTTTTCATTATATTCTATTGTTCTCGCTCCTTACTAATGTTTCTATTTTCTAATTCTTTCACACCCAGTAACCTCTTGTGTCTTAGTGGCTTTACTGCCTTGCTTGGGCTAAATTCAAAAAAAAAAAAAAAAAAAAAAAAAAAAAATGAAAACATATCTAGACAAGTTTGGTTAAAGACAACCGAAAAGGTCTGTTTAATTTTATTATATTTTTCCAATTTTCAAATAAGGTATTGAGTATTGCATGCAAAGTTGTGGATAAACTGTCTGAAATTCGTATTTTGTTATTTTTATTCAAGTATTTTTGACTTTAATAGTCATTATCAAGAACTGATGTGGTGTCTTAGAATTCCTTTGTTTGCATTCTGGTATTCTTTGGAAAGCTGGACACTTGAAATTGTTTCGTGTGACATCATCTGTAACAACTATTGGGAATGAGGCTGAACAAAAAGAATGCAATTTATTTTATTAATTAATTAAATCAAAAGGGAAATCTTCTAATATTAAATTCATCACAATTTTCATGTCTGCTCAGTTTCATATCCAAAGTATTTTTCTAAGGTAATGGATTTTATTTATCAACCCGACAGATTTTTGATCACTTCAAACATTTCTTTAGTGGATGTGAGTATCCACTAAAAATAATGTTTAAAGTGATCAAAATGTGTTGGATTGAGAAATAAAAGAACATTTAAAGTGATATTTTTAGAAATTCCAATGACAATTTTTTGTTCATATTCACAGGTGGGTTTCCATATGTCTTCAACTTAATGGCATAAGTGTTTTCAAAAACAATCATTCTTTAAGTCGGCTTTAATAAATCCTTCTGGACTTACTTTTCTTAAAGTTAAAATCAAAAAATTTATTGAAACAAAGATAGGAAACGGTTTTCTGTTTTGGTAAGTTTTTGGATTTCATTTTTAATTTACACCTGACCTCAAACACAGACACACATGTAGACTAACTTATGTCCTTAAACTGTAAACAATAAGATGTAGAGATTAGAAAGGTTTTACCTATTGTGGCAATGATGCTTGTCATGTGAGTCTGTTTGATTTGTGGAGAGTCGATATCCAAAGAACAGAGATGTTCCAAGAATGACCGTTCTTCTTCCGTGTTTCCCCACATTGCTGCCACTAGTGAATCAGACATGGCTGCAAAAGTGTTCTATCACGAAACCTTCACGGATGCTGTAAAGGAAAAGGAAAAAAGTCAACATAAGAAAAAATAGATTTCAGGATTTTGTAGAAGGTTCAGTGAATGAAAATTTGGTCTTGTAGAAATATTCAACTTGTTCACAAAGAAAAATAAAAGGAAAAGAAGAAAGCAAATAAAGTGCAAATACATTTTTATAATCAAGAAATTGTTGAAGTGATTTTTACAAAAAATATTTTTTTTTAGTCCAGTTTCTTATGAAAAAAGTTTGCATCAAACAGGAAACAGACCAAATACAGAAAAATTTTGTAACTTCTCTTAATACTTCAACTCGGACTATTACTAGGACTGCTTCTTGCACTGGCTACTTGATACATGCAACCTGGGTATGATGATAAACTACATCTGGCAGCAAGGTCTCTGATGAGGTAATTGGAAGTTTCAAGGAGTGTGGAACCACTTCTTAAATTGCTGTTGTTTCCAGACCCTGACTAGGGGTGGTAGCATCTGTTAGGGTCCAGCTATGGGCAAATAGATACCCCCCCAAATAAAAATTGACAGTACATTTTTATAATAAAATGACCAACAATAGATTTTTATAGCAAAATGACAATCAATGCAACAAAAAAAAATATAAAAAATATATTTTTATAGTAAAATTACAAATACATTTTATGATCTCCAAACTATATATCTAAAAAAAAAAACAAAAAAAAAAAACATAACTTTACTTGAAAGCATAAAATTATGTACAAAATGAGATTTCAGCATTAAATAACCCATAGAGGTGTTGATATGCCGTCAAACAAAATCAACCAACCAACTTGATAGATTGTCTTTTACTTATATATATGTGCAGATAAAGCATTAAACAGATGAATGAGCAGAAATATTTCACAGAAAAATGCTTGACTCGCTTTGAAAGAGTGCTGCATGAAGAGTATAATATTTCTAAAAACTTAATAACTATACATGCTTAAAAACTGTAACTTTGCAGATTAATAATTTTATATATATTTTAAATATTGCATAATTCTAATTTTTCTCCATTTAATTACAATTAAATTTTAGGTTTATATCCACTCTAGAAATAGGACAAGAAAAGTGCAGTTTCATTAAAGACACTGGAACAAGGAATGCAATATTTATGCTCCGAATGATATCAGAAAGAGCAATCCAAGTTCAAAGGAAGTATATTTATATTTTTATGCAAAACATTTGATAAAGTATGTCACTAAGAACATTTGGAACTGCTACATAGATTTTACTTGTTTTGGAAGTATATTATAGCAATCCAGAACTTATACTGGAAGCAAATCACTTAGACATGGATAGAAAACGAATTCAGTAAATATACAAAAATAGAAAGGGCTGTAAGACAATGAGTGTCTTCTCATTGGGCTCATTCAACATATATAGTGAGATGATACTGAAAAAATTAGAAGTCCTACCAGGATCCATTATTGGCAGCCACAATCTTAACAAGATATGCAGATGGCACAGTGTTGATATCAAATGTAGAACAGAAACTACAGGAACTCCTACAGAAGGTAGTGAAAGAAATTTCTTAATAACTACAACTTGGATTGTTGCACTGACTGCTACTAGTATTATCATGCAAACTGCTAGAACTGACTACTTGATATGTTGTCCTTTTATTTATACCTAATGCATGAACAATGTGCACAAATATTGAACTGAAAAATTCTCAGATCCATTCCAAAGTCTGTAATTGAATAAAAAAATTCTAATAACTTAATAACTATGGGTTAAGTAGTAAGACTTTTATCACTAAACCATTATTATCTCCCAAGAAATGTTACACTGTAGCCATGAATTTGTTAAATGTTAATTCTGAGCAGGAAAGGATTAAGCCCAAAATGAATATAAAAGATATGGAAAGAGATAGAGAGAGAGAGAGAGAGAGAGAGAGAGAAAAGAGAGAGAGAGAGAGAGAGAGAGAAAGAGAGAGAGAGAGAGAGAGAGAGAGAGAGAGAGAGAGAGAGAGAGAGAGAGAAAAAAGAGAGAGAGAGAGAAAAGAGAGAGAGAGAGAAAGAGAGGGTGGAGATGGGGCAATCTGGATCTGTTCTCTCCTAAAGTTTATTTTTTTTTATCTATTGAGAGTCTGGCATGTGGCTGAAAACAGATTTGGAAATAATTTTGTCTCTCACTCAGAAATTTAAATAAGAACAAACTTTTTTCCTGAGGGTCAAATGTATGGGTGGAAGTTATGAAAACAAGTCCAGTCAACAGTGATCTGGTTTATATTTTCACTGAACAAAGATAAGTTTAGGAATTGAGAAATAAATTTATCTCTTCCTGAGGAATTAAGAAAATACATATCATTAACAAAGGGAAAGACAGACGAAGCTTACATTTTCACTGACAAAAATGAATTGGGAAATTTAAACAAAGAATAAACTCTCTTTAAGGGTCAATGTTATGAAAACAGGTCCTGTCATTGATGAGCAGGTTATCTGGTTTATATTTTTGCTAGGCAGAGGTAAGTCTAGGAATTGAGAAATAATCTATCTCTTCCTTGAGAATTTAAGCAAAAAATATCATTGACGAGAGAAAGATTATATTTTCATTGATGAAAACAAATTGGGAACTTTGGGAAATGTAAACAAGAAATGAATTCATTTTGAGGGTTGAAGTTATTGCTAGACAGAGATAAGTCTAGAAATGGAGAAATAATTTTATCTCTTCCTTGAGTAATCAAGAGAATTGGAATTAATAACTAGAATAAAACCACGTCCCCTTGTCCACATGCTTTAAAAATTAGATTTGTTACAAAGATTGTTATGCCTGCCCTGGGAAGTCAGCTGAGGTTGAATGCTGAAAAGGAAGAGGGAGAATTTAGCTCCACCTGTATGGAGTGATGGTACGAGATTTAAAGTACAGCAGGTTAGAGTTGAAAGGAGGAGCAATCCCTGTAACTACTCCCAAGAAGTCTCCAAATTTGGAAAGTTGATTAAGAAAGCAGAAATAAGAAACAAAGAACTCATATCAGTATTAATGTAAAAATTGAGGAATCACCAAATCCCCAGAACCCTTCTGTTCCACACCTGTTTTGGGCTGAAGCGCATATAAGCAGATAGCTTTGAGAGCTTGAAGATTTGGGCTGTCAATCTCACATTAAGTGTCTCTGGAATCCACATCAGCTGCCACCAGATTTCTTGATTCTGAAGAACTTTGAACCCCAAATATGAGGCATGGCACAGTGTCACTATAGAGAGTGATGCAAGAAGAATTAATTGTTGTTGTAACAAGAACTCTATAAACCAATTGAAGATTAACCTAATGAATCTTTTGTTTTTATTTTTTGTTGTAAAGATATCTCTTCCTTTGATATAGCATGCACCATGTCACAAAGCAGCACTGCAATTACTATGACATTTGATCTTCCACTGCTCTGAGATCAAGAACACAACATGGACAAAGTTGGTGTAGATCAAAGCAGCCAGTGGCTAACAACCAACTTGGACCAGTGTTAGTATTGACCAGTGCAGAGTTAGCCCTGAGGTTAAAACATCATCCCAAGACCTTGAGGACCGGACCACTAAATATGGTTACAATACCAGGTGTGGGTAGTGGTAAAAGGGTTATATAAATTCTTCTTAAAATCAAAATATATTTTCTGGCTTTAAATAACCTGCAAAGGGTTGATAAGCCATAGAAAACAAACAAACAAACAATATAAAGATATTTTTATTTCGTCTGAAATGGATTAGTTAATAGATTATATTTTAATGTGTTTGCTATAATTTTAATCTAATTTGTTTCTTTTACTAAATATTAATTTATATGGATTTTTGAAGTTTTTTTTTCACAAACACTACAATTTCTTGCAAGATGTATTAAAAATTCTGCAGTAAATTTTTTAAAAAATTATTTACCCAAATTCATTGGATATAAGTTAGCTTGTTGTCATTTTGTTTTTCCATTGTTTTATCATAACATTTTGTCAACATAATCTTTGACCATCCTTTTGTGTCATTTTCTTCAGGAATATTGAATCTTGCTGTGAGGGGGCATGCACTTCCTCCCATATATAACAAATTCATACATTTTAAAAACAAATACAATTTAAACTTTTAAGTGATAGTTTATCCTGAGCATTTTAACCTTTAGACTACAGAGAAGTCGACAACACATCAAGTCATCATTCTTCCTCTGCTGGAAGAGAATCCACTACTCCCTATTCACTGTGTAATGAGAGTGAGCCAAGGAAGAAAGATTTATTCTCCCATTTGAATTTCCCCCATTATGGGCATTATTATATCCATGATATAATAACACCACATATTTCACAGACAGAATGGAATAGGTGAAAGGAAAAGGAATGACAAACAGCCTTTGTTCTCAAAGTGACTTTTCTACCACTAGGATATACACAAAACTATATCCATATATATGTCCTACATAGAGAAAAATATATCATATATATCTACATGGCAAAGCAAAGTGTAAGAAACAAAAATGAAGGATCTTACATATAATATGGAGATGCATCTGTGTCTGGAGAAGCCATGTTTAGTCTCCAGATTCAAATGGGTCAGATCCATCCATGTCCCAGGCAAGACATATTCCATAAAGAGGAAACTGCAAGTCTTGGGTTTTCCCAAACAGAGGACTGTGAGCTGGAGTTTCTTTCTATATCTGGGAAATATATATTCCCAAAGGGAAATGGTACCATAGACTTGTAATCTGCTTTTGACTACACTGTTGTACAGTTCAGAATTATAGACTGCATATAGGTCCCATATCAATCAGATGGAAGTTTTCCACAAAAGTTTTCTCCACATGATCTGTGGCTATACTTTTAATGATAGGGTATCCAATGTTGATCTTGCAAAATACAACATTTTATGGAATTGAGACTTTGCTGATGCAGTCACAACTTTGCTGAGCTGGTTATGTTGCAAGGATGAGTGATGACAGAATAACTGAGGTCCACATGTATAGCCAGC